TCTTCCGGTTCGGAACTCTCGTGCTTCCTGGATGTGGATGCCTGTTTCCTTTCCCAGTCAGATAGGCCATTATTTTTTTAAATAAAGTTCTGTTCCTTTCTCTCTTTCTTCTTCTTCTGGGATTCCTATAATGTGAATGTTTGCATACTTGATGGTATCCAAAGGGTCCCTTAAACGATCCTCATTTTTTTTTAAATTCTTTTCTTTCTGTTTAGTTCTGATTGGTTGATTTCACTAGTCTGCCTCCAGGTCCCTGATTCATTCTTCTGTATTATCTAACCTGCCCTTGAGTCCTTCTAATGTGTTTTTCATTTCAGTTATTCTTCAGGTTTGCTTGATTCTTTACTATACTTTCTCCCTGTTCCTCTATTCCACTCTCAAGTGTGGTGAGCATCCTTATGACTTTTTCTTTTGCTTCTTTATTATGCAGATTACTTAACTCCATTTCCTTAGGTGTTTCCCTCCCCCTAGACCCCCCACCAGAGATTTTTCTTGTTCCTTCATTTGAGAGCTGTTCTTCCAATTTTTCATTTTGTTTGAATTTCTGCATTTGTTTATATAAATTAGACAAAATAACTCTCCAAGACTTGGAAAAGCAGCCTTATTAGAAGGGACCTCTGTGTAGGCTGTGTGTGCCAGATGGTTTTGGTAGGACTGTAGGAGCGAAGCTGGTGCCTAAGGCATTCGGGGCACTGGCCCATTGAGCCAGAGCGGCTCTAGGTGGGGAGGCCAGTGCGTGTAGTAATGCCCTCTTGAACCTGCTTGCTTCCTTTGTTCAGGGCTGAAATAGGCTTGGACGATATATCTAGGTACACACTACAGCAACCTTTCAGGTAGACCAGAGCAGCTGGATAGAGCCCCCACTCATCCTATGGAAGTAGAGGGGGACGTAAACAATGGCGCTCACAGGCACCCTCAACCACAGATAGTTCCCACAGTCCCAGAGAGCTCCATGGCTCCCCAGCCTTTTCTCCCCAGTCTCTCTCCCTCGTACAGCACATGGTTTTACGTAGAAGCAGCCTCTGTGTAGGCTTTATGTGCCAAGTAGTTTTGGGAAGCCCAGCAGGTACTTACGGTGCCTGAGGTGCCGGTTTGCTGGGCTGGAGCGGCCCCCAGCAGGGAGGCCAGGTTCATGTGACACCCTGTTATTCCCGCTTGCTTCCTTTGCTTGGAGGCAAAACGCTCTGGGCAGCGTAGCTGGGATTGCTGCTGTGATCTTGCAGGTAGGGCAGAGCTCCTCCAGCACGGAGAGTTCCCACAGCTCCCCGAGGGCTCCGGTGGCTTTCCCAGCCTTCTCTATTCAGTCTCTTTCTCTTGTTCAGAAGCTGTTCACTCAGCCCTCAGCTGTCTCACAGGAGTAATTGCTCTCTATGTACCTGTGTATTTGAGTTTGCTCATGGAAGGTGGCGATTTCAGTGTCCTATGTCACTGCCATCTCTGACTTCTTCTACTTCTAATTCTTTAAGGTGTGATGTTAATTGTTTATTTGAGGTTTTTCTTGTTTATTGAGGTAGGCCTGTAATGAATGCTGTAAACTTCCTCCTTACCACTTTTGGGATGCTGTATTTTCATTTGCATTTGTCTCTGTATCTTTTGATCTTTTATTTCTTCTTTAACCCAAGGGTTGTTCAGTAGGATGTTGATTAATCTCCACATATTTGTGTTTTTCCCAGAGTTCTTGTTAATTTCATTTCATACCATGTGTTCAGAAAATATGCTCAGTATGACTGCAGTCTTCTTAAATTTATTGAGACTAGTTTTGTGCCCCAACATATGGTCTGTCCTTGAGGATGTTCTATGTGCACTTGAAAAGAATGTGTATTCTGTCGTTTTGGGATGGAAAGTTCTATAAATATCGATTAAGTTCATTTGATGTAATGTGTCATTTAAGGCCAATATTTTCTATTGACTTTCTGTCTGGATGATCTACTCATTGCTGTCAGTGGGGTATTCAGGTCTCCTACTATAATTGTATTTTTTTCAGTTTCCCCCTTTAGGTCTGTTAGTAATTGCTTTATATATTTGGTGCTCCTAGATTGAGTACTTATATATTAATAAGTGTTATGTCTTCTTGATGAATTGCCGCCGTTATCATTTTAAAATGTCCATCTTTGTTTCTTGTTATCTTTTTAAATCTTGAAATCTATTTTGTCTGATTAAGTACTGCTACACCTGCTTTCCTCTGGATGCCATTTGGTTGAAGTATCAGCTTCTACCTCTTCACTTTGATCCTGTGTTTGTCTTTGTAGCTGGGATGAGTCTCCTTCAGGCACATAGCTGGGTCTTATTTTTTAATCCATCCCACTACTCTGTGCTTTTTGATTGGTGAGTTCAGTCCATTTATACCTAGGGTGATTATTGATGTATGAGGACTAACTAGTCATTTATCTTTTGTTTTCTTGTTGCTTTCTGTCTCCATTGTTTCTTTTCCCTTGTGATTCTGCCTGCTATTTTAACGTGGCCATTTTCTATGATTTTTTTCTTTCCTTTTTTTTTTTAAAAAAAAAATTTGTTTTTGGCTTGTTTGCTTTATGTCTCAGCTCTGGATTTTGGTTTTGTGGTTACCATTAGGTTTGTATAAAATGTCTCATACACACAATAGTCCTTTTTCTTCTGATTGCCTCATCTTCATTCACCTGGTGTTCGGTCCTTTTCCTCCTCCCCTTTTGATTTTGTTGTCACAGATTATCCCTCTTTATGTTGTGCATTTGTTATCAAAATGCAGTAGTGATAATTTTTAATGTCTTCCCCCTTTAACCTCCGTGTTCTAATTAGGTGTTAATAACCTATTCTGAAGTAGATTTGACGTTTCCTGCTTTCGTCAATCTGTTAATCATGTTACTCAGAGTTTTATATGTTTCTGTGTTTTGTTTGCAGTAGAAATCCTTTCGACATTTCTTGTAGTGCAGGAATGTTGTGGTAAATTCTCTCAGCTTTTTTTTTTTTAATCTGGGAAAGCCTTTTTTTCTCCTTCATATCTAAAATATAACTTTGTTGTATATATTATCCTTGGCTGATGGTTCTTGTCTTTCACTACTTTGACTATTTCCTTTTACTCTTTCCTGTCCTGTAATGTTTCCGTTGAAAGATTTGATGATGATGATGATAAACTGATGGGATTTCCTTTGTGGGTTACAGTCTTTTTGTTCCTTGCTGCCTTGAGAATTCTTTGTCATTAATTTTCGACAGTTTAAATACAATGTACCTTGGGGAAGTTCTTTTTGCATTGATATAATTAAGGATTCTGCTAGCTTCTTGAATTCTTTCCATAGGCTTGAGAATTTCTTAAATAATTTAAATCAATTATTTAAGTAGGTTCTCTGTTCCCTTCTCCCTCTCTTTTTCTGGTATATCTATTATCCTACGTTTCCTTTTTCTAGTGTCGTCGGTTCTCATAGAGTTTCTTTCTCTCTCTTTTTACCCCTTCCTTTTCTGCTTCTTCCCCTCTACCTTTCCCTTCCTCTATTTCTTTCTTCTCTTAGTTCTCTCTCTTCTTCCTATTGGGTCATTTCTAGGTTTTTATTTTCAAGTTCGCAGATTCTCTCTTCCATCTGGTCTGCTTTGTTTCCAGTGCTCTCTAATGCATTCTTCATTTCATTTATTGAGTTCTTTAGCTCCAGAATGTGCTTCCTTTCTATTTGTTTCAATTTCTTTGGTAAAGTACTCCTTTTGTTCATTAATTTTTTTATTCCTGAGTTTTCTTATACATTGTTGAATTATTTCTTCATAACTGCAGTCTTGAATTCTCTGTTATTTAAATCATAGTTTTCCATGACTTTGAGTTTGGTTTCTGGAGACTTCATTTTCTTTCTGTGTTCCTAAGTTACCTTGGTCGTTCATGGTATTTGATGGATTGTTTGTGCTAGTGATCTTTTGTTTGGATACTGTTTTGCTCTCAACAATTCAGCAGGTTAATAGGCAGGGTACTTTTTGTTTTCACGTAGATGGTAGTATAGCGCAAGTTTTTTCTCTTACCTGCATTATTTATGCCTCTGGGATCATGGCGGAGTGGCATCCCTTTACATTAAGGAAAATGCCATGTACCCACTGGGACGGTGAATGTCCCCTCTGTGACTGGCTCGCCTTGGTTGTGGGGCACCATGATTACTGTGGCAGGGGAATGTGGCGAGCGGTGGAAAAATGTTTTTGTGAGCTCCCATAACTACTTCCTTTTTCCAGTGTGTTTTTGGCTTTACTGGGCTCTGCCAGGGCATGTGGGGCAGAGGAGGCAAGTTTACGATCTCACTGTTTCGCCCCGCTCCCCTTACAGTAATGGCTGACGATATTGCTATATTGTTTAAAGCTTTCCAGCCACCTCTACCCAGCTCTGCCTTGATGGGGGTGGGGAAGGGAAATGCCTTTTCCAGGAAGGAAACTCCTTCTGCCTCTCTTACACTCCAGGTCCTAGTGTGAGGGCTGCAGCCTGACTTCACCACTGCTGTGCTCACTGGAGCCCGGGTGGGCATCCAGCTGTGTCTGTAGCCACCGTCCCTGTCCTTCCTCCCATCCTGCCTCCCTTGCTTTTTCCAATTCTGCCACCTTCAGACATCCTGATGGGTGGCTCTTTTATGTGTGTGTTTGTGTTGAGCAGGAACTCCTTCGTTATAATTGTCCGACTCGTAACTTTAAGGGGTGAAGCAATGGAGTCTTCTCACAGGATGCTGACATCCCCTCTGTCCATTCACTTTTTAAAAACCTATCGATGTCTATTAGGTAACATTTTTTTGAAGCCTAGTTTTCAATTTCTTTATATAATTGAAATATTAAAATAGGATTTCTTGAAACATATTCTATAATTCAAGCTTTGTTCTTGTTAGTCTGACTTTGTAAAGTCTTTTTATAGGTACTTAGTATTTGGCTTCACATTATAATAGTGATGCAGTCTTAATATGGAGGAAATAAGCAAATTATTCTTTTAACTAAAATATGTATTTCCTTCTATGCTTGATCTTGAGGTAGTAGATTCTGCGTGATGACAAGCTGTTACCTCTGTATTTCAGGTACTATGCTGTAATGGTCACCATGTTCTTCACTGTCAGCGTGGTAAACAACTACGCCCTGAATCTCAACATCGCCATGCCCCTGCATATGATATTCAGATCTGTAAGTGCTGCTGGCTCACACGAGTATGTCCTCTGAAATACACAGCTAAGCGGGTAAATTAGACACATGCCAAAGTAGAAAGGCCTTGTAATAAGTGCTATTTAGGGTATAAGAACAGATCTCATGGTGAGTGAGCAGAGGGTGGCTTTTATCTGAGAAATGAGGCAAAAAAGAGAGAAATGTGAAAGCGGATGGTTTTATTTATCCGAGGTCTATGAGTGATTAATAAAAGCAAAAATAAAATTTTTCTGGGAAACAGATTTTACCTTTAATTTCCTTCATCTGGTTGATTTTATATTCAAACTTGTTATATATGTTATTTAACTTATTTCTCATCACTTTTTTCTTTCATAAACTTACATTTACTTTTAATACATGAAACAGATCCTTTTCTGTTTGGTTTTTTATTTAAACAGAGACTTAATTAAAGGGAAATTTCTGGATGAAGGTGGGATTTCTCTCAAAGCAGTAGAGGTTTTCTTCTTTGCCTCATATGCGGTGAGAGATCTGTGTTCAGTTTGTATGTAAATAAGAACATACAAACTAAACAATTCAGCCCGAAGAACAGGAAAGACTTCAGAGAGTATGTAGATAACATTGCAGGATAATACAAAATGGGTAATGATTGGAATTATAACATTTCTGCGTGGTCAAATGTACTATTCCTGAAAGGACTTTCCCGAGGTAACTGTAATGACTAAAATGTCCTCGAAAGCACTGAGCACATAGTAGACTTTCAATAAACGCTTGATGATTGATCGACACCCTTTCGGAGAGGAGATCCCTGCGTGACTTCTTTCATTAAAACTAAATGTGAGAAGAAGCTTATTAAAAGATCTTATAAATAGAAGGAAAATTTGACAAAAATAAGTCTATAATATATTCTTGTTAGCCTTAGCTTCAGCTATTGAGAATTGATCATTTTTATTTTCATTGTCCTCTTTAAAGGTTTTATTATTTTACAAGACAGATTTTTGTGGTTTATACTTTTTGCCATAAGAACACCTGAACTTTACTTTTATCCTGACTTCCTTCTTTCCAGCTGTTTTTACCCCATCCGTGTTCATATTTATCTTGAATTATGTTATTGTCTTTCTCTCGTGCACTAAAACTTTCTCTCGTCTCCTTTTATAGGGTTCTCTAATTGCCAACATGGTTCTAGGAATTATCATTTTGAAGAAAAGGTAAGCAGTATACTTGTATCACTGGTGTATAGGAAGCATACCCTGAGCCCCATCTATAAACTGATCATCTGGGTTCCTTTTCTCGTAGTGCAGATAGTTTGCTCTTTGCCACTTACTTTGTTTCTTAGTTCTCTCTGTGACAACGATGTCATTCCTGAGGCAATTGACCAGGTGAGAGATCCCACCTGTGGCTTTTGAGCAGCATTTTCTGTGCAGAATTAGCTCATGTCATCATCGAATCCTTAGAACCATTCCAACCTATGAAGCCAGTTGATCTAGAACTTCACTGTCCCTTAGGATCACCACTAGCCACATGTGAGTATTTACATTGAAATTATTTTAAATATTTCTCAGTCTCACTAGTCACATTTAAGGGCTCAGTTTGGCACACGTGGCTAGTGGAGACTCTATTAGAGAATCCAGATTTGGAACATTTCCTGCTTCACAGTTCTGTGGGACGGTGCTGTCATAGAAAGCATTTATCAGTACAAAGTCATGAACTGAGGAATAATCATACCTATTAGAAAGAAAATTCCTAACAAAGGCCCAGATGGCCAAGAAGATAGAATGAAAAGTTTCAGGATTGTTCTCTGTGACTGTCACCAACGGCTCTCTGTGGGGTAAGGGCTGAAAACATCAGAAGTACCTGGGGTGCTTTTTCAAAGTATTTGGATCCCACCTTCATTCGTAGCCCCACCTCTCACTCCCAAGAAGGAGGGGCATTGAGGAAAGACAGCACAAATAGTCTGGAACATTCCTCGGGAAGGTCACCCTTACTATAAAGTCCAAAATTGTGTGATTTGATGCCAACTTTTTAATGTATTTAATATCCAGCCTGAGTATTAGAACTCTCTGTACCAGCTTGGAAAGTAGCTGTCAGTTCAGGGTGTGGGGACTTAGAGTTTTGAAGTAATAAGGGCTGGGTCAAAAAGGACAATTGTCTTCTCTTACTAAGCTTTTTATCATGAATTCTTTACCCCCTGAGGCTTCTGTATTCTCCAGATAAGTGCCATTGTACGCACAGATCGGTCAGTTTTGTTATGTTTGAAGTAACCATTGTGTATCTTAGTAGCGTAGAAGTCACCTCGGACACACTTGTGGTCCTTCCAACCTTTGATTTTGGTTCATAACAGGGATATAAAAGAACATATTATAAACGAGATGTATTCTCCTGATACTGTCTCAAACGGTCAGGGGGTTTTCTCAAACACTTCACTTAAGAACTTGTTTTGGGCCTGTCATCTTGAATCTAACTTTCTTGGCCTTTTTGACTTTTAGTGTATATTAGCCAGAGAGCAGGGATTTGCCTACGTTAACTGTCTAATACCATGGATTAGTAACTAACTTATGTTCACCTAAAAGTAAAAGGCCAAAGTGGGAGGCAGCAAGCATTATTTGAGATCAAAAAAGCAAGAAACAAAAAAACCCAACTATTTGGCAAGCACCGATTTGGGCAGAAACCCAAATAGTGTTCTGATTAGGCAAAGGGTATTTTTGAGAAAGGGAAGAATAATCACAACAATAGAAGGAAGGCATTTCTATCGGTGCAGAAAGCTAACATAGTGATGCTAATTCCGAACTGTTTTTAATGGTCAGGCCAGTAGTTATCTGGTATTCCTAATATCTGCTTTCTCGTTAATCTTCGCAGACAGTTCTTTGAGGCACAACGTGGCTTTAGGCCCAGTCCAAAGGTTATTTTGCCCTGTTTTAACATTCCAAAAGTTTGAGGCATACGCGTGCAAGAAAGTTCCTCCAGGATGGCAGCTCTGACATTTCAAAGCGTTCTTATTTTTTAATAGTTATCTCCTTTTATTTATCCTGGATAGAAGCCTCTCACATTCATAGTGTGTTCCTCGTTCCAGGATTCGACAACCAAATCTATATTTATTTTACCCGTGCCGCTCATTATTTTTTAGGCCTGAATTATAAGCCTCTCTATTTTGATCTTCCCAGACTGCAGAGTTCCCTTCTTTCCACAGCTGCCCCCGGCAGTGCCTGCTCCCTCACCCACCCCTCTTTAGCACGGTGCTCACAGCCCCTCACTCTGCTTCTCAGCCTGTTCCGTTGGCCTTTTAGGAGACGCAGTGACCAGAACTAGAGAGAATATCGGAGCGTAAACCTCGGGTGGTTTATCCTGTGAGTTTCTTTCCTTTCTTGCCTGAGGCCTTTTGCTTCATCACCAAGAGCCTGAGAGGGATGTTACTGATACTGTTTTAGTTAATGCGAAATGCCTGTGTTATGACTGCCAGTAGTCCTGTTCATTTAATAGTCCTCCCTTTCTTCAACTGTGCCAGCATTTAAAAACAACATTTGTCAGTCAGAGGCTTTAAAAAAAATATACTCCCCTGAAAATGAACGATCGAATTATTTTTCGAGGATTGAATTCTGCCGCTTGTACCGGATACTCCCTTCTGCTTGTGTGGTGCGTGTCTTCACACTGAGGTTTGGGTCCCCCAAAACAGGAAAAGCAGCAGATGCCAGATCCGAGTGAGGCTTTCATTTGGACTTTCGAGAGCAGGATGGAATGAAATGTCTTTTTTTTTTTTTTCCTGATGAAACGATTTTGGGTCCATAAACTATCAGAAAGTGTTTTAAAGAACTTTAAACCCAGAAAAAGGGTGTCGTAAAGCAACCAGTCAGCGCTTTGATTCTTTCACACACAGACTTCCATGGACTCTGCTGGGAGATGACCTTCAGCTGTATTTTGGTGACCTGTGTTCTCATGCACCATCCCACTTGAACATTGTGTGGAGACTGGTACCTCTGCTTTCCTAAGGTGTTCTTGTTCTTATTTTTGCAGATACAGTATATTCAAATATACTTCCATCGCCCTGGTTTCTGTGGGGATATTTATTTGCACTTTCATGTCAGCAAAGCAGGTGGTAAGAATCAGTTCACAAATCATTTATATTTGCTACTTATTAATGATAAAATAAATGGAATGCTTATGTAATACAAGGATTCAGATCTCTGAAAGAGTGGCGGGGGAATGGCTAATAAATCTCTCTCCTGCATCTGGGCCCCTTGTATGTAGTCTGCTCTCTGTACCAATGTTTTTTTTCTTATTTCCTAGACTTCCCAGTCCAGCTTGAGTGAGAATGATGGATTCCAGGCGTTTGCATGGTGGTTACTAGGCAAGTACAGTAATTACAATAAAGATAATTGCCTTTGCAATCTGTTTGCTGAGTTCTCTCCTAAGGGATTGGTTTCTTGGCAAGAAGCTTTGGCTAAACAAATTATGCACCTGGGATCGTGTGTCTCTGAACTTTAGTGTTCAAGCAAATGCCCGGATTCATGGTAATGTGTCCAGTAACATGGATCCATATTTTTCCTGGTCGACACTGGTATAGAAAGAAAAGTACACGCCTGCTTGCCTAGCACACACTCCGGCATCAGTGCTCAGAGTGCCGTGCACTTCTCCATGATCTGTCTGGTCAGGAGAGCTTCTTCAAAAGAAGGGCACATGACAGCTAGTTGACTCTTTAAAAAAATTTCCAAGGGACCCATTTCTAAATCTTAGATTTATTGTCTTTAGAAGTTAGCTGTTCCGTATGGCAGTGATCTCAAACCTGGTGGATCAGCAGAATTTCCTGGGGAATTTTTTTAAAATACAAGTATCTCTTTGTGGAAGTAATGAGACAACTCCTGTAGAGCTTGGCCCTCACACTGTATGATGTAGAGGTGAAATTCTCCAAGTTCATTCAGCGATAGCAATAACAGATTGAGACCGACCGTGTAGAAGAGAAATTATATTCTCCTCTCTTCTTGGCTTTGAAACTTTGCCCCCTTAGATTGCTATTCTTAGAGAGGTCTTTATGAGCTATTAGAAAAATACCTTCCAATAAGAAAAATGTGCAAAGAATTGAACATACCATTTGTGGAGAAAAAATTAATGTCCAATAATCTTTTGTTCAGCCTCACTTGTCTAATAATCAAAGAAATGCAAATTGAAACCAAAATGCAGTACCTTCTTATTTCTGGTCTGTTATATAGGCAAGATCATAAATGATTATTTGCATTGCCACTGAGGATGCAGTAAGACAAACATTTTCACATAAACGGTTTACAGTATAAATTGACATAGCCTTTCTGGAAAATAATTTATATATTGAGTTATTAAAATCTACAACCTGTGACTTAGTAATTCTTATAAGAGTTTTTTCTAGGGAAATAACATTTTAAAAAAGATTTATGTAGGATGTACATTGATTTTTAATGATGATTTTTAATTGGAAGTAATCTCATCTTGTAAGACATTTAAGTACAATACATACAGATGACAAATATGCAGCCATTAAATCAGACTTTTGAAAAACTTTTAATGAATGACCTGAAGAAAAATCCAGGAAAAAGATCATGAAGGAAGCAAGATACAAAATTTTATACTATGAGCCTGTGTTAGCACAAAATATACATAAATATATTTAGAGAGATGTAGGAAACTGTAATAGTAAATTGTGGTTGATTTTTATTTCTTTTTCAAACTTTGTACATGTTTTACAATGAGTTTGTAATATTTGTAGAATATGTAAACAACCAGTAAATGTTCTTTAAGAATATATCTGGGGAAATAAAGGATATATCTGGAAATATAGGTATCTTGTAACCTGATCTTTTTTTTTTAGGTATTGGAGCACTGACGTTTGCTCTCCTGATGTCAGCAAGGATGGGTATTTTCCAGGAGACTCTATACAAACAATTTGGGAAACACTCCAAGGAGGCTTTGTTTTATAATGTAAGCAATTTATTGAACCTGGGGAGGATAAATATTACTGAGTTATTATTACTGTAATATGGTATCAAATGTAATAGGCCGTCCTTTTGATGTAGTGGAAGGATCAATTTGTTATTAGTAATCTGCTTCGAGCCCCACAGACCGAAGTACTTTCATAGGCTGCTAATGTGCATTCAGAGCCACAGTTCTCTGCGCGGGACGATCATGATCAGTCAGTGTGAACAGAACGTGTCCGCTAAACCAGGAATTACTGTAGGGACAAAGAACCTCACCTCCAGTGTTCCTGCAGGTGAAATCAGGTTGAAACCAATATGGAAGCCTGGAAAAGGAAAGTAAGCTACAAAAAAACCAAACCAGCATGCCCAGGGGCTATGTGCAGGCGGGCGTTGGAGAGCGTTGGGGGGGACGGGTGAGAGGATGAGTCCCTCAGATGGGCTTCATCCATTTGATGGAGAGTTTAGATAGCTAGTTATACTGCTTCAGCTTCTTCATTTTAAACTGCTCTAGAGACACTTCTTCCTCCCTCTTGTTGAGGTGATGCCCAGAGCACAGCCCCTCATGGTCAGGGTGACATGACGGCCTCCGGTTCAGTAAGCCTTTTTACAGGTGCTTCTCAGCTATCTGCAGGGGGGTATCTTCTCTGCCCAGTTGCTGCAGACAAGCCATTTGAGATTTAATTGGAACTAGCGTGTGGGTCTGGGACTTTAAAAAAGAAAGGAGCATTCTGTTTGGTTCACATCTGTCTTTTAGAACAGTGCATGGCACACAGTGCCTGCTCAGTCAATGCTACTTACCTGCGATTCCTCGTTATTGCATTGGTGGTGGTGGCGGCTCGTTGTCAAGTACAGTAACCTTTGCTTACCTGTTGTTTCCTCTTCCACCTCTTTTTATTCTTATCTTCATTTCTTTTTCCCTGCCCTCCATCTCTCTTCCCACTAGTTTTCTAAACTCCCTAAAATCTGCCTTCACATTCTTTATATTTTTAAGTCCATTATATTTGCTTAGCCATTCTCAAAAACAGTAAAACGTAACAAATCCTGTGGGTAGAATGACTGCCTATTTAATTTTCTCATTCCCTTTTGTTGAGGAAAGGATGCTGGCTCCATTTTTTGTTTTCTTTTGTGTGATGACCATTACACTTAAGGGCAAGAACTGTAATTTTGATGCTATCACGACATAGAGCATCAAGCAGTTTAGAAGCACTGGATACATTCAACTTAATAAGTCTAACTTGCTTTTCATGATAGTGCTTGTCCAACGACTTGTAAAACTTAGAATAATGAGAGCAGCTTTACAATGACTCAGTGTTTTTGCATTTACATTTATGCGGAATGTTTCTTCCCGTAGCACGCCCTTCCACTCCCTGGATTCATCTTCTTGGCTTCGGATATTTATGACCATGCAGTTCTCTTCAATAAGTCTGGTGAGTCTGGCGTGATCCAGTACAACGACCTGACAGTTTCTGAGGCAGAGTTTCAGTTTTACTCTTGACTTGCCCACTGCCTTTTTTTTAATTCAAAATCATCTGTCCCACTTGAAACCATCCCGGTTCCATGAATACGATGCTGATGATCAGTGGATGCAATAGCAAAAGCCTTTTTACAGGTGCTTCTCAGCTATCTGCAGATGAAGCGCTATCTTCAGATTTTTTTTTTTTTGCCTTGGAATGTGTGTTTTTGCATGTGGACGTGGAAGGTTTGTCTGCAGGACGCACGCACTGTAGCCATCGGAGCCACGAGAGAGGGTGGGCAGGGGTTCAGCAATTTGTTCATCCTGCCAGAGGCAGGTCTGCTCGGGGGCCCAGCCCTGGGGAGGGGAAGCAAAATTGATGACAGGGCTTTTTTTTTTTTTTCAAATGACAGGAAGAAAGGCAGCAGGAAAAAGCAAAATTAGTTCAAAAGTCAATAGTTGCTTATACCTATGAAGTGTATTTTGTAGGACGGCAGTGGGTGCTCAGGAAACACTTGTTTGCTGTCCGAACCTCAGTGTGAAGCTGTGACTACCCTGCACCTCTCCCATTTGCCCCCCAGGAATGTTTGATGAAGAGAGTGTGTAAGAAAGTTAAGGCTCTGAATTAATCATTTCTGATTTTTTAAAATTGGGATGTAGTTGACAGCTGATTTCTCACAGCATAGCAAACTGCTATTGAAATAAACATGATCAAATTCCTTAGAACTGATTTAGTTACTAGAATGTTTCTTCTAAAAATTACAGGGCTGTGTATTTATAAAAAGTTTTGTTTTTGGAAACGGCCTTAAGCTTCTTCAGAACATCCCTAAGTTAAATACACATTTTTTCCTCTTGTTATGAGTTTTAGTGTCTCAGATGAACCTGTTATCCTCGAATTTTCTGAGAGCTGACTATCCGTCTAAATATTTTACATTATACCGATTGTCTCTTTCCTCAGAAAACTGATACAGTGGGTCTCCGAAGTTATTTAAAACAGTAATAACATTTGTTAACTTTCATTTCAATACTTGCAAAATGTTTCGGAGACAATAGAATACCAGATTATTGGAATTTCCCACTAGTCCAGACATACGGTTCTAACAAATTATTTATCTAGATGGCTTTTTATTTTTTGCAAAAGAAAATTAATGTTCTTTTCCTAACCAGATCTCAGCATCACTGTGTTGGACTTTCCTCAGTTACGCTGTATGTTTCAAACACCGAAAACAATTTAGCAATATGAAAGAAATGGCCTTAGAGGATTATAATGTCCTATTCCCTGTAATCCCAAATATTCGCTGTGCAACCTCATTATACAAATCTAACATAAGAATGTATTTAAAGGTAGAAAAGTTAAAATTCCATTATTCTCCACATCAGTTAATTTCATTTTACCAGTTCCTTTCTAGACACTGTTTACATAGTTGTAATCCTTATGTTGATTTTTCTACTTCGTTTTCCGCTGTTTTTTTTGTGTGTGTGACCAAATGTAACCTTTATGACTTTGAATGTAAAGGTCTTATCTAGTTAAAGTATCTTTGCTTACATAGCCATTGTTCTATCATTGCACAGATTTTGTTTTTACATATTATAAATTATACTGCAATGAAGAACTTTTTTTGAATTATCTAGGATTAACTTCTTAGAATGGGTATTAATACTTTTATAGCACCTTAATAAGAATCGTGAAATTTTTTTTAAAACACCACCAACTGAGTGGCTGCCAATTCCACTTTTACCTTGCCAGATTAGAATATTATTCATAAACTTTTAATTGCTAATTTATTAGATATAAAATGCTACAGCCTTAATTTAGAATTTTTTGATTACGAGTAGGATTGAACATACTTGCAAATGGCATTTGGTTACTGGTTGCCTTTCCTGTCGTGTTGTCAGATATGACCATGTCATTTTGAACTTCCTGTGCTTCAGTCTTGCTCTGTAAAGTGGGGTCCTAGTCAGGTGAATGGTTAAGAGTTTATCATTTGTTTTAAGAAAATGAAGTAATGATTCTTGAGACCGATGTAGCCTGGAATCAAGACAGGTAAAGTGGCATATGGTCCCGACTGACGTTGCTGTCTCCGTTGTGATCGGTATATATTACTTTGTTCAAAAAGATGAAAACTTTAGCTATCAAAAGTGATACAGCCATCTCCCCTCTTAATCTTTGCAGAGTTATATCAAGTTCCCGTTGTCGGTGTGGCCGTGCCCATCATGTGGTTCTACCTCCTCATGAACATCATCACCCAGTATCCTTTGCCCGCCTTGGCCCTGTGGTCTTTTCTGGATTATTTTAGCCCAGGAACATTTGTTCTAACAGCGCAGTGACAGTTTCATTCTTACCTTGATCTCTTCTGCAGTAAGCAGGAGACGGAGAGGCCCGTCTAGTGAGCTCCTTTGTGGAGGGCTGAGGGGATGACAGTGGTGCCGGAGGTCAGTAAGTCACAGGGCACTGTGAAGAAATGCTCTGGGGGCGGGGACAGTCAGCAATTAGTGTATGACACGAATGTTCTATGATTTGTACCATCCTAGGATATTTCACAAACTGCTACAGAATTCTGAAAGGAATTTCAAATTAATTAAAACTTAAGGTCATTCAAAAGAACCATTTAAAAAAAAGTCCATTATAACAATTCAGTCTTTGAAATAGTGAACCAGATTGACCTCATTCTTCTGAAGTCACTTCATAGCTCTGTCATACAGAGTTCTCTTTTGGAAGTGGTGGAAGGCTGGGAGCCATATCAAAGAAAGGTGGGTGTGGTCACCTTCGCTGAGAGTGTTAATGCTCTGTCATTACTTGGGAGGTGACCTTCATTGTGAACCATGGGAAGAATCCGGAATAAGTATATCGGAAGGTTTTAGGCAGTTTCGAGTTGGGATCTACAAACGGA